CTCAGTTGTCCTGATCCAAAAGCGTCCCCAGCCAGGGCCAACACCAAGCCCAGGGGTGCAGCCTGGGGGTCCCCATGCCTGTGTCACCCCCTCGCTGGGCAATGCCCCACTTCCCCAGCTCTGTCCCTTCACCGGTTCGGTCTCATTTGCTTCCTCTCCACAAGGACAGGGCAGGCAGGTGCTCGGATCTGGGTGCACCCCTGGGTTTTCCACCCCCCTGGCCCTTGCAGACGCAGCCGGGGCCACGTCACATCCTCTCGGGGCCGATCACGGTTTTTTTCCGTGTGCTCGCCCCACCTACGCCCAAGCAAGGGAAGGAAGTGAGAGACTCGGGGGCCCGGCCGCAGCCACCGGCAACCCCTCCTCCGGCACCAGCCCTTCCCTCGGCCTTTCCCCTCCTGTCCCTGCCTCCCAGTAGGGAAGACACTGGGTCAGGTATTCGGGCAAACTGAGGAATGGTCAAGAATACATGCAAACACCTCTACAGAGCACCCAGGGCCGGGTTCAGCCGTGGTTTGAGAGGAGCAGAAGAGGACAGCATCAGCACAGTGCCCGTTAAAGCCAGCTCAGCCCCCGGCCAGGGCTCCCTCTCCACCTTTGGGGTCTCCAGCACCCAACGGCCAAGGCACCCCCAAACCACTCACCTCCAGAAAGCGCAGGAGCTCGATCTCATAGTCTTTCTTTTTCTGGGGGGAGATGGAGACGTGTGGTTACACAGAGATCCCTCATCCCATCCCTGCCTCAGGCAGTCCCTCACCCAGCCCCGGTCCTCGCAGCAACAGCATCTTCCACCCAGACCACCTGCTGGTCCCACACACGTGGACCAGGGAGACAGAGGACCAAGGATCTCAGGGGGTCAAGACAACAAGAACAGGCACTGAGGAACGGGGAAAGGTTTGTTTCCAGCGAGAGGCACAGCCCAAGCTCTCCCACCCTCCTCCTCGCTCCCCATCGCACTGGTGCCCATCTGCCTGTCCATCCATCCTCGGCCACTCACCTGATCGCACTTTTTGTGGTACGCGTCCTTTTCCTTCTGGGAGAGCAGTTTCCACTGCTGGCTGCACAGCACCATCCGCTCAGTGCTGGGCACGTCTTTCATGTTGGCCATCAGCTCTGCACAGTACAGGGAGTAGCTATTCCTGCAACCAAGGGGAGGGACCTGCCCATCTGCCTGTCCATCCATCCTCGGCCACTCACCTGATCGCACTTTTTGTGGTACGCGTCCTTTTCCTTCTGGGAGAGCAGTTTCCACTGCTGGCTGCACAGCACCATCCGCTCAGTGCTGGGCACTTCTTTCATGTTGGCCATCAGCTCTGCACAGTACAGGGAGTAGCTATTCCTGCAACCAAGGGGAGGGACCCAGCGTCAGGGATTTCCTGCTCCGCTCACGTCCTGGAGTTGATGGGTGCTAAGAGGCCCTCCAAGACCCCTCAAGCTGCCCTCTGGGGTGCACTGGGCAGCGGAGTGCTGCGCCAAAGGTGTCTGGATTTTAGGGAAGCCAGGAGTTGGATCACCCCCTAACCTGGCGCACACAGCATCCCCATAAACCTCGCCCAGATTGTCTGCAGATACGTATTTAAGAACCATTTTAACGAGGTCATCGACAGCCCGTGCCCCTGGTCCCAGAAATAATCGGGGCTCTAAAAGCCAGGCCGTGTCCCAGTTTTCTTGTTAGCGTCCGCCCGAGCTGGCCGAGAGCCTGAAGCGATAGCTCCGAGGCCGCAACCCTCGTGCCCAGACAGGGAGGGACGGGACTCACGGAGGTGGCTTTGTGGGTCGTCCGTCGAACTTGTCCTTGAGCTGGCGCTCGGCCTTGGTGAGGGTGGAGCGGGTGATGCCCTCCTCGCTGATGTTCAGCTCGGGGTGCTTCTGGATGTAGTCGCGCATGATCTCCTGCAAAGGATGGAGAGCGGTCAGGAGAGGGGCTCCGATCCCCGCCTGGCTGGGGGCCGGAGGAGGAGGAAAGAGAAGCCAACCATTGCCCTAACCGTCTCCCAGGGATACTTCTCCCTTCCCCATATGTCGCTGGAGGAGGCAGGGCTCACACTCACTAAGGACCTGCAGGGATCTGGCTG